ACGTATAACCGGTTAATTCCTGTACGATCAGTCTCGCGTTAACCGCTCATGGTTCACTTTTCATAACCTTCAAAGAAATGTACTACGTCGAAAGAAGCAGTAGCGGCAGCGACGTCAGAAGACGCGTGAATAATAATTACGTGCCGAGTCGTAATAAAACTTCGTTTGAGAACAAATGTGACGAGTAAGTTTCATTTGACTTTTTTCTATTTTTATAATTTTATTATTATTACTATTATTTAATTTTAATTTTTCTATAGCATTTCGTTGGAGCGTCGTGCGACTCGTATACTAGGTAGACGATACGCATTGACAGCTACGGAATTCAAATTCCTCGAAATTGGTATCAACGTGGGTCCACCGAGTTACATGGAGATTGCCATAGGAGATCATCGAGGAAAGGAACTGATATTATCTCTCGAAACATGGAAAGGACTCTACGAGCAGCGTCGCAATATTCAAAATTTACTTCGGAACGACTCTAAAGATGACTACAATTTTATAAGCGTTGGACCGCTAACAGTGAGAGTTCGTACGATTAACGACGTCAAACTCATAAGTCTCGAAACTTCGGATGTACGCATGATGATGGTCGAATCGACGTTACATCGTATGTTCGATCTCGATCAATGCATAGATGCAACTTTTGATCGATTAGATAAAATTATCCAAACAGTTGATGTTAAATTTACACAATTCTGCAATATCGCGTCCACTGTAACGGATCCGAAAGAAGTATCATATGTAATACGCGCGAGTGATGTTTTCAACAAGCATGAACTCGTCGATTGCGAGCTGGCATCTTTAGCTTTTAATTCTTAATATGTAAGACAAAAATTATATTTGTATACTAAATATATAAACAGAATAAATAGTTATAAATCTATATCATGGTGTACTTTCTTTGCGTTTGGCGCGCTCTCCCGTCCCAGCTTTCATGCATAGCTCCTTGCGAGAGAATTATCATGAGAGAGCAAACACTAGGAAAGAAAGAAAGAGACAGAAGAAGTGATACGGTGCACGTGAGAGAAGAGATATCACACAATGAAAATATTTTTGATAATTTAATATAATTTTTTAATAGTTTTCTTATAATTTAGTAATAAATGGAGCAATGAAAAGAGAGGGAGAGAGGAATTTGGAAAATAAATAAGATTTTTTATATTAATTAATTTTTAATAAAATAAAATAAAATGTGTATTATATACATAGTGTGCAAAAGAATTTAAAATATACAAAATATAAATGTGTATTATATACATAGTGTGCAAAAGAAATTTTAAAGAATTTAAAATATAAATGTGTATTATATACATAGTGTGCAAAAGAAATTTTAAAGAATTTAAAATATAAATGTGTATTATATAAATGTGTATTATATACATAGTGTGCAAAATGAAATTTTAAAGAATTTAAAATACGTAATATATACAATTATATAATACAATTATAAAAGTATAAAAAAGAATACAAAAAATATAAAATGAATAATATATAATTGAATATATAATATATAATATAATAGGAGGGCGATGGCAACGACGATATGGTGGTGGTGGTGGTGTCGATGAGAGGCGATGGTGGGGCGGCGATGAGAGGCGATGGTGGGGCGGCCGGTGGAAGAGTGTGACTCTTTCTGCACATAAAAAAAAATTTATTAATTATTTGAATAATTTGATAATAAATACCTACACATGCGACCTACCTCCAATTATTGATCAGAATCCGAATCAGAATCATAACTGATCATATATTCAATAGTTATGCTGATGGATTCCTCGCATCCTTTCGGAACACGCTTCTCGATTTCCGCCTGGCAAACAGCAATCTCGGCAAATGGTTGCCTCTAATTTGTTCCTCTTTCTAATTCGTATATCCCTCTTTCTAATCTTTATATACGATTTTAGATGGGAGGTCGCGATTGGAGAATTTCTTCCGCCAAGTTCACGATTTCTTAAATATTCCACCACCGACATGTTCATTAATTTTTTATTCCGTTGCTCGCACACTTTAGTCTTATTCACTTTTTTAATGTTTTTTTTTCACAACGTGCATTGTGGACACTTTTTTAATGTTTTTTTTCACGTGCATTGTGGACACATATTGCACGGAAATGTTAGATATAACGGATCTCTGCAATTAGAACAGTATCGTCCATCCGTTGCATCCAATGTCTGAATCACATGTTTTCGTACGGCATACATCTCTATGGGGTCTACACCTTGCAACCTAATCATACAGGACGCACATACTGCTAAAGCGCCGCCAGTCGAGTAATAAAAGGATATCGTGCAATATTTTTTTCGTCCGCTTAATGCATTAATTTCTGCGATAGATACTATTTTTGATCTGACTAGTGCAGAGTCACTATCCTCACTGCAGTCACTAATACAGTCACTGTCGGACGACAACACGCGATCTTCGTCTTCGTTTTCCATTTGATGTATTATCACACAATATATATATATCACAGAAGACTAACAGAACACTATCTTTTTTCTGACAAAACACTTTCCGAGAGAACACTATTTTTTGCTACCGACGTGTCGATGCGTTTTCAAATGATGTACTATGATCTGCTGCGCTTCGATCCTTCTTATATTCGACCAACAAGCTTTCAGAGACTGTTGGGGGTTGACACGAAAGAAAATTTTCTTGCAAATGTACCTAGGATCGTAGAAAAAATGCGCTATTGTATTACACAGATTGCTTGAAAAGGTTGGACTGAAATATCTCAAAAATGTAAGTTTATGAAATAAAGTCATAAAAATATGTATAAGAGTAAAAAAAAAAAAGAGTATAAAAGGTTTTCTATAGTATCCCATTTGCAAGAAAAAATTTTCTTTGTGTCCCCCGATAATCTCTGAAAGCTTGTCCGCTTAATCTCTATTGTTTATACGTCGAACGGGAAAAAAAACCTGGAATTATCTATTACGGGTGTACCTCGAGAGTACAAAGCAGCCGAACATCGGCGCTGATATGTAAACGAGGGAGACACCTCCGATTAGTCAATCAAAGCCAATTGTGTCCAATTGTATTGTGTCTAATCGAGTAATCCCCAGACAAAGCAGCCGATCATTAGCGCTATTAAAATTTTTCCTTAAAAAATAAAATTTTTCCTTAAAAAATAAAATAAAATACAATAAAATAAAATACAATAAAATAAAAGAACAATAAAAAGGATTAGGTCCGCAAAATCTTTTTCAAAATATAATAAAATACAATAAAATAAAATAAAAGAACAATAAAAAAGATTAGGTCCCCAAAATCTTTTTCAAAATATAATAAAATACAATAAAATAAAATAAAAGAACAATAAAAAAGATTAGGTCCCCAAAATCTTTTTCAAAATATAATAAAATACAATAAAATAAAAGAACAATAAAAAGGATTAGACCCAAAAAAGGATTAGACCCAAAAAAGGATTAGGCCTAATCCTTTTCAAAAGAATACCGCTCTTTTGTTTATGCTTGTCATTAACGTGACCCCCCCCCCAACCCCCGCGTGACGTCATACCCCCGCTCCGCTGAGATCCCCTCGCACCTCACCTCCCTCAGAGGACCTGGGTTAGAACCGGCCTACTACATCTACTGTTGACAACAAGATAAAGAAGAGAGGCAGGCCAATGGATATATCGAATAAGAGTAGGAGTAGCTCGGTAACGAGCAGAGATAGCAGCACTGGTAGAAGTGGAAACGAAAGCGGAAGTGAGGGAAATAATCGAATAACAACTTGGCTTAAGAAGAAAATCTCGGAGGAAGAAAAGAAGAAAAGGAAAGCGGAAAGTCCTGAACACGGAGGAAAAGAACCAAAAAAGAAGAACGAAGAACAAATGGAAGAAAACATGAGTATGGGCAAACAGGAGGATATAACGTTTAAAATGTTTAAAGAAATAAAGGATAAATTAGATTCAAGAGACGAAGAGGATAGAGGGAGATGGAAAAGCTTGGAACAAAAACTAGAGAAAATAGAGGAAGATAACAAAGTAATGAAAAAAATGATGAGAGATCTAGAAGCAGAGACAAACAAGAAACTAGAGAAAATGAGTAAAGAAATTGATGACATAAAAAGAGAGAGAGGGAAAAAGGAAGATATAAATGAAATCAAAGTAAGCAAACTGGAGGAAGCGGTAAAAAAAATGCAAAGTGAAATAAAAGAAAAATCTCACAGCAATAGGCGAGAACATGATAGTGGAAAAGACATAAAAGAGAATGAAAAAATGAAGAAAGAATTGGAGTGGATTGTAGAGGAGGCAGAGAGAGAAAAAAGAAAGAAGAATGTAATAATCAAGGGATTAGAGATACAAGATAAGGAGGAACTAATAGGATGGCTTGCTCAAAAACTGGAAATAAAGGTAGAGATAAGGAAAATATGGAAAATAAGGAACGCAGAAAAAACTATAGGAATTCAACTGGTAAGCAAAGAGCAAAAGTTTGAAATAATGAAAAGAAAAAACAAGCTAAGAGGAGAAAAGGACAAAATCTATATAAATGATGACGCTACATGCAAGGAGAGACAAAGCAAAAGAGAGGTGATCAAAAAGAGAAGAGAACTGGAGCTGAATGGCACGAAGTGTGACATAGGACATAATAAGATTATCACGGATAAAGAGGTTTTCTACTGGAACGAGAAAGTAGAAAAGTGGTTTCGGAAAGGAAAGAGAGAAGCAAACATACAAAGAACTCAATAGAAAAAGAGAAAGAACATCAAGACCTGACAAAAAGAAAATAAGAGAGGAGGAAAAGAAAAACATAGAAATAATTTTCTGGAACGTTGCAGGTCTTACAAGTCTAGAAGAGGACGATTGGGAACAACTGAGAAAATCTGATCTAATAAACATTTCAGAAACATGGATCGAAAAAGAGGACAAAATAATGGATTATAAGATGAAAAACTACGAATATATACAAATAAAGGCAAGAAGAGAAAAAAAGAGAGGAAGACCAAAAGGAGGCTTGGCGATGGCGCACAGGAAAAATTTAATAGCAAAAAAGTTAAAAATGGAGAAAGTGACAGACGAAGTAATGAAAATGGAAATCGATACAGGAAATGAAGTCATAATAGTAATAAGTACTTATATGAGAGAAAACAGGAAGGAAAATTACGAGAAAATATCTGAGATTATAGAAGAAAACAAAGACAGATATATTATAATAGGAGGAGACTTCAATGCGAGGACAGCAGAAAAAGGAGGAAGAATTGAAGACGACACTGCCGAAGAAAGTAGAACATCAGAGGACAAAGTAATAAATGAGGAGGGCAGAGTACTTATAAAATGGTTAGAAGAAAACGGCTTGTACATAATAAATGGGAATGTCCAAGGAGAGGAAAAAGGCAGTATGACTTATATCGGAGCGGTAGAAAGATCGGTAATTGATTACGTGATTACAAATCGAAAAGGAGAGGAAAGGATAGAAGAAATGGAAATGGTAGAAGGAGTAGCGTCAGATCATCTAATGATTAAAGTAAGCTTAAGAATTGGAATGGAAAGAGAAGAAGAAATGGAAAAAGAGAAAGAGATAATCAAATGGTCAGACAATGAGATAGAAGAATATATGGAAAGACTTAAAAAAATAGGAAATGTATTCGAATGGAAGGACTTAAGAAGAAAAATAAGAAACTCAATTCCAATAAAAAAAATAAAGGTTAAAGAGAGACCAGATGAAAAAAGATGGTGGGACGAGGAATGCCACTTTGCCAAGAAGGAACTGAAGGATGCTAAGAGAGGATACAGAGAAGATGAGACCAAAAAAGATCAGTACTTGGTCTACAGGAAAAAGTATAGAAACTTATTGGAGAAGAAGAAAACAAATTATAAAGAGAGAGAATGGATTGAAGCGAAGAATGATAAGTCAGGAAAGAAATTCTGGGAGATAATAAACAGACAAAGGAAAAGAAGAACGAAGATGAGTGACAAGATCAAAATAAACGAATGGAAAGAGCACTTTCAAGTCCAAATGAAGGGAACGGTAGAAAAAGAAGTTGTAGAAATAGACAGGATAGCAAATCAAGAAAATGAAATAAGTTTAAAGGAAGTGAGGGATGTGATTAAAAGATTGAAGAAAAAGAAAGCAGCAGGAGAGGACAAAATACCAAATGAAGCATGGCTATATGGGGAGGAGGAGATAGTAGAAGAATTTCACAAGATAATAAACAAGATTTGGAACGGAGAGCAGAAACTACCAGAAGAATGGAAAATAGGCATAGTAACACCCATACATAAAAAAGGAGACATACATGACGTAAAGAACTATAGAGGAATAACGCTAATGGACACAGGATATAAAATCTATGCAGAGATAATCAGGAAGAGGTTGGAGAAGGAAATGGAAGAAAGGGAAATAATGGGAGAGACACAAACTGGATATAGAATAGGAAAAGGAACTTTAGAAGCTATATATATTGTGAAGACGGCCATGGAAGAGGAAACGAAGAAAGAAAAGGGAGAAATCTACCTATTCTTCGCAGATATGAAAGGAGCTTTTGATAAAATAAGAAGAGAAAAATTATGGGAACTGATGGAGAAAGATGAAATCAGTAGTAAATTGAGAGATAGAATAAAGGAGATAACGGAACGGCTTTTAAAATAAGGATAGATGAAAAATTATCAGAAGAAATAAACACGGAAAAAGGAGTGAGGCAGGGATGTCCGCTCAGTACAGCACTGTTTAACTTAGCTTTTGCAGATTTGGAAAGCACTATGAGAAGTGTACAGTTAGGAGGAATAGTGATAGGAAGGAAGAAGGTTTGGACAGTCTCGTATGCGGATGACGTGGTGTTGCTAGCAAACAACGAAGGAGGAATAAAAGAAATGATTAAAAAATTCAGGAAATACATACAGGACAGAGGATTGGAACTGAACATAGATAAATCTAAAATCATGAGAGGAAGAAAGGCAGGAGGAAGGAAGAGAAACATAACATTCACATGGGAAGGAAAAGACATCGAGGAGGTGAAGGAATTCAACTATCTAGGATACACTTTACAAAGAAACAACGGAAATGAAGCACATATAAAGAATATAAGGAAGAAAGCAATGGCCGTTCTAGGAAAAGTATGGAGTATAGGAGAAAGAAACTTCAAGGATAACTGGAAAAAAGAATGTACTTGTTTGAAGTTTTGGTGGAGAGTATTATGATGTATGGCGTGGAGATATGGGGCTAGAAAGAGTATAAGGAAATTGAAGGTTTACAAGATAAATATATAAAATGGACACTAAAACTGGACAGAACGACACCTAGCCACATGCTTCACTTGGAAACAAAAAGAAATAAAATTGCAACCAAATCAGGAATAAGAGCGGTAAAATACGAGGAAAAAATAATGAAAAGCGAAGGAAATGAACTGATTAAAGAGTGCATTAGAGTAAAGAATAAATTTAGCACAGAAATGAGAATAAACAGGAAAAGAGAAACATGTGAAAGATGGAAAACCGCAAGGAAAAAATACCTTGAAGAAAAAGGATGGTCGATAGATTATTATGATCTTGAAATGAAAAATGGAAGTGGAATTTGGATTAGGTTGAAAGACATTGGTGAATGTATGGAAAGACAGATATGGAGTGAGAAGCTAGAAAGATCAAAATTTGCGAAGGAATATAAAACTTAGTACCAGAAGCCATGGAAAAACCAGAATATCTAAGTAAAGAAAATAATCGGAAAGGAGCTTTGGAAATGGAAGCAAGATTTAGATTAGGCACTGAAACGAGGGCAAACAAGTATTGGGAAGCGGAGGAGAATAGAAGGTGCAGACTATGCGGAAAAGAAGAAGAGACGCTTCAACATGTTTTCGAAACATGCGATATGACTGGAGAAAAACATGAAAGTTGGAGGCAACAGATAAATGGGGCACGAGCTTTGACAAGAATGTTGAGTATAGCAAGGAGGAGGAACAGAGAGGAGGAAGAATTTACATATCAGGTGGGAGAGAGGATGAGGAGAGGCTGAATGGGGAAACAAATGTTGTACAAGGAACCTTATGTGGCGCACGCACCAATACAAATACTTATGGAACAAGTGTATATAAAATGTATATAACTCAAATGTTAATAAACGCAATTATTATATATAAAATTTATTAAAATGTGTATGTGTTAATTAGTGATGAGCTAAATAGTTATTTTGCTATAACGGTTACTACGGTTATCGTTATTCACAAATAACTCCTCATTTAAGCAGTTATTTTATATAGTTTTTTTTATATAGGTTTTTATACAGTTTTAATTCCATTAAGGGCCACTTCGACCAACTTCGGTTGACTTTAATCGTTGATTAAAATGTTGCAAACACTGACAAAGTGTTTCATGCTAGAAAGAGAGCGAAATATTATGTTCTCTTTCTAGCATGAAACATTTTGTCAGTGTTGGCAACACTTTAACCAACAATTAAAATTAATCGAAGTTGATCGAAGTGGCCCTAAAATTTGTAGAAAATATAATGCATATGTATAGGAAAACTAATTATATTTACTATAAAAGATGTTACGTATTATTACGTTCTATTTGTTAAAAACATAATTGACTGATTTCTTTATAGTGCGTATATATTGTATACATATATATGTAGAACGTAATATCTTTTATATTAAATGTGGTATATATAATATATTAGGTATGATATGCATATTTATATACATATTTATATGAAAGCAAACTTGCATAACAATAAAACATCGCAAGAATTATCGTAATATAGACATTATTTATTAAAATGTAAATTATAGTTACATTTTAATGTAGATTATAATTGAATAATCACAGTTGATCATCACATACTAGTTTCATAATTGCATCTCGATTTTTGACATCACAGTAATACTAATTACATTAATCTGTTATTATATTTATTAATACAAATAAAATCCATGTATAAATACGAAAAGAAACGTGCACAACTTATTAAATGAACTTATTACATAAACTTTGTACTCAAATATGTAACTTACTACATATAACTAACATAAATGTAATTGCACGAAAGATTTGTGTAATAATGCAAAACAAAATGAAAAAATGAAAAATAAAAAAAAAGTATGTTTATATTTAAATAATTAAAAACATAATAAGACAATAGCAAGCTTACTTTTGGACATTTGTATTTAAAAATAATAATTTTTTCATTTTATTTGTAGATAATCGATTTCTACGGTGACAAAAAGAGACCTGCTTTTGAAAAAAGTCTTTCACATGGAACAGACGTTCCTAAAGCACATAAATATTTTTTTGCTAAGTTCGAAAGATATGGGAAATATTTCGTATTTTCTTTCCACCAATTATTTGGATTTTCTTGTCGTGGAAGTATATCTACTTCATCAATGTATCGTTGAATTTCAATTAAAGCTGTAGACAAGGGCGTTTTTTTTGGTTTAGTAACAGTAATGTTATCAAACATGTACCATACAGATAACTCGTCTTTGTCTAATTCATTTTGATCTGATCCACTATTTTTATTTGCAATTACGTTTTGCTTGTTCAGTAATATCTATATTATTTATTAATGATGAAATGACTACTTTTTTTGCATGTTCAACCAGCACTTTCACTGGAAAAGGCTAATCCTTTAAATCTAGGATTCCAAAAATGTACATACTGATAGCGTAGTATTACTTTCTATATTACTAAGTCTCGTATTAAAGCCATTTTGAAGTTTGGAGACCACTTTCATTACAGATGGTGAAAAATTCTTTTTTGGTAAAGTTGTACATATGTTTCTTAAACCATTTGTTAATGGAATAATTAAAGACGCAGAACAGTATTTTTCTCCGCTAATTGTTTTTGTTACTGCTTCAAATGGCTTTAATATCTGACACATTTCATTAATTATTTTCCATTCTTCCATTGTAAGTATTGGAAGATCCTTATCTAATACAGCTAATGTGCTACGAATTGCAGTCTCAAGCTTGAAAAATCGTTCTAGCATAAAATAAGTAGAATTCCATTTAGTGGGTACATCTTGAATAAGTTTTAAAGGCTGCTCACAATTATTTCTTTGAAATAACATCAATTTCTCATTTGAAATGTAACTCCTTTTAAAATGACCAACAATAATTTTGATTTTCTCTAGAATTTCAGCGATTGCATCAACATGTAATGCATCATTAACAATTAAATTTATTGTGTGAGCAAAACAGCTAAAATGTTTCCATCCTAGTTCTTTAAAAATAGCATTTTTTATATTGCTAGCACTATCTGATACTGCTAACAGAATTTTTTTTTCAATACCCCATTCATGTACAATTCTTCTTATTTCATGTGACAAATTTTGACTTGTATGATTTGTGAACATTACTGAACATTCTAATAGCACAGATATTAATTCAAAATTATCATTAATAAAATGAACTAGCAATGTAACTTTACAGCAATGTAACTTTCTGTATTTCGTGACGTCCAGCAGTCAGTAGTTAAACAAAAACTTGAGCCAGAATTTATTAGTTCTTTAGTATAGGTAAGACACTCTTCATAAAGAGCTGGTATTGCCGTTTTAGAAATAAAATGTCTTGAAGGAATTTGATAAGTTGGATTTAATGCTCTAACAAATTCTACAAATCCTTTGTCTTCGACAATACGAAATGGTTGGAAATCTTTAATAAATAACTGTAGTAACTTATTATCAATTATTTTTTTCTCTTTATTAGTGAGCTTTTTTTGGTATATATGATGAGATCTTTTCGCATTTATGAGACTCAAATTTTTTCTGTAATATTGATTTATTATCGATACCTGTTTTATTCTTAATATCTTCTAAAGTGACTGATAAACTGCTTGAAATCTTTCTTTCTGAAGATGAATCAGAAGATATTATTGAACACGCAGGACTAGACATATTAGAATTATTAGATGCGAGGCTTATATCTGCACAATTGCTTGGAGTGTATTGATCAGGTTCATCATTCATTTCTTCATCCAAACATGATGTTAAAGAAATATCCTAAAAATAAATTTTTAGCATAAATTTACCTCAACTATTGATTGAAAATAAAATATTTTTATTAAATATTTTCTAATTTTTTCATAAAGAAAAATAAGTTAAATAATTCATCTCAGTATGCATATAATAATATTAATTTTATAGAAAGATAAAAAATGTGGCAAAATATAAATAGAGATTGAAAGAAAGATACATATGTAATTATACATATGTATTTTTTTATGAGAATTAAACAGGATTCTTACCTCATTTTGATTGCATACTGATAAATTGATTGCAGGTACTTTACTTGTAGACGGTAAAGCTACTGTTGGATGTCTTGCTAATATGTGTTTTCTTAAATTATTTGTGGTACTTCTATATGAAAGTTTATGTTTGCACAAATTACAAGACGCAAATTCAGTATTAAGAATAGTAAAAAAGGACCATATGTCACTAGTTTTCTTCTTTCTTTCGCATCTTGCCGAAATATATGATAAAATATATGATAAACAGTATGTAACAGTGTAAATGTAAAGTATAAATAATGTACTCGTGTTATATCAGTAAAAGAAGGTTAAGTCACCCATTAAGTCTATCTATTGCACAAGATAACCAACATGCTTTGCTAAAAATTGAAAACCAATAACATAGGTTGTTGCCTTGGGTGCGTTCTGTTTCAC